CAAGTTCTTTAACAGTTGTTGAGTAAGGAATAGTAACATTATTAAAAATTATAGGAGGTAGCGCCTTCATATCAATTTTAGGCAATCTACGAGAACTACCAACCACAATAGCCTGACACTTTGATGGATTAATCTTAATACCAAATCTGTTTGACCAATAATAAATACAATCAGGGTCGCAGTTAAGCTTCTTAATCACATCATTGATACCTGCCACCTCAATTTGAGCATATTTGTAAGTCATCAGCATACAGATGGTATGAACAGCGAATGTGGGATGTAATGAGTTTTATAAAGACTGAGAACAGGAGACGAGAGAGAATTCCGCCTTGAGAAACGCCAGCAGACAACGAGCACCAATCAGAGACGATCTGACCTACTCGAATAGCCTGCTGACGACCCCGAAGATACGAGGAGAACCAGTCCAGCGCCGACGAAGAGAAACCCAATGGCAAAGTACAGCTAGGAGAATATCATGATCGACAGCATTAAAAGCGTTAGAGAAATCTATTAGGACTAACACAGTCAATTTTGAGTTCCCCATTCTAGTATGAAAATCTTCTGTAGTTTTCAAAAGAGCTGTGGTTGTACTGTGCCCAGATTGAAATGTGCTAAGAAAATTATTTTTGAAAATGTAACAAGAAAATTGTTTGTGAACAGTAGCTTCAAGATAAAAAGGGAGAATAGATATTAGGTGAAAGTGAGTGAAAGAACTGGGGTTATTTATTTTAGGCAGCGGAATAACACATACTTTTTTCCAAAATGTAGGAAAATCTCCAGTCAATAGTGAATGATTATTGATGTGAATAATAACAGGAGTAACATTGTCTAGAATTAAGGTGATCATGAGTCTACTCACATCATCGAAGCCAACTGCCATAGACTTAATACAATAGATGATCTTTTTTTATATCCTCATCAGCAACGGGAGAAAGATTAAATGTGCAGTTACGAGATTGTAGCATAGAATTCAAATAAGAAATAGTACTTGATATAACATAAGCCTCCATTTGGATAAATGAAGAAAAATGTAAGTTTAGATCACTTATAGAAATGATTGCAGGGTCCACGTTAGACGTAGGTTTACCGATCCCAGTCGTCCCGAGAAATTTCCATATATCAGCCATAGAAGAGTTCATGATATGGTGAATAACGAATTGGTGAAATATAGCGGCGTTTAGCGGCTCGTACCATCTGATTACATCGATTTCTCGCAGCTTTTGATTTTGCCCAATTGAGTTCACAACGGTTTTGCTTGAATTTCCTAAACATCTGATGGCGAAAGAACTACTCATTGTAGTTCTTTCGCCCTTTTAGCTTAGGAACATTTACCAGGTAGTTCGTTGTCATTCTTGCAAACTTTTATTGCAAATACTGAATAACACTTTGCTGTTTCGGTACTTTTACTTGAGAATAAACTAATATGAATAATAAACTAAATACACTGGGCTGAGCGCTGGGCGTATTAACTATAAATTAAAACAACGTTCTTTCTGTGAGACGGAGAGTAAGCAAATAAATTTATTCAAGAACATAATTGTCATACAATCGTACAATAGTTCGTCATAACACAATAGATGGCATTACTGGTATTTCGATATAATACTAATAGAAACAATGATCGAAATATCGCATTTAATTTCCTCTTTCCATATTTAAGTTCTACGTTTTGAGAGCTTTACTGGAGGTCATTAACACGTGGTAGAGCCACGCTGTAGCTATATTACCGTTATAGCACGAATGTAATGGAATCGTCCGGGGTAGGGCCACGCTCTCACCTAAATGTCGTAAAATAGCAGCTTAAAACAGCAGTATTTCGTACGGAGAGTGTAGAGACCTGGGGACCCTTTTTAATGGATACGAGGCATTCCATCTAAGTCCTGAGGGGTGACAACGCATTTGTGTTTTGATTCGTAATTGAGGATAGATGTGTGATTATATATATATATATATATATATATATATATATATATATATATATATATATACATTACAGCCCTTCACAAGTCCACTGCTGAACATAGGCCTCCCCCAAGTAATGCCACAAAGCACGGTCCTGAGCCACCTGCATCCATCGACTTCCTGCATATCTTACCAGGTCACTCCATCTAGTGGAGGGTCGCCCTACACTACGCCTACTGGTACGAGGCTGCCACTCGAGAACCTTTCTTCCCCATCGGTTATCGGTTCTTCGAGCTATATGACCGGCCCATGGCCACTTCAGCTTACTAATCTGTTGGGCTATGTCGGTCACTCTGGTTTTACTGCGGATATCCTCATTTCTGAGTCTATCACGCAGAGAAACTCCAAGCATAGCCCTCTCCATAGCTCGCTTAGCGACCTTGAGCGTCCTCATACGGCCAGCAGTGAAGGACCACGTCTTAGATCCGCAAGTCATCACTGGCAACACGCACTGGTTGTACAATCTAGTTTTTACAGATTGAGGTATACCTGACGAGAAGATATGTCGTAATTTCCCGAACGCTGCCTAGCCGAGTTGAATCCGTCGATTGACCTCTCGGTCGAAGTTGGACTTACCTAGTCGGACTATTTGTCCAGGTAAACGTACTCGTAAACGTCTTCGAGCATAGTGCACCCAACAACTACCGGCATAGGTGTGACATGGACATTAAACATGATCTTTGTTTTGTCCATGTTCATCTTAAGACCTATCTGTTGGGAGGCACTATTGAGGTCATTGAGCATAGTGCTTAAATCCTCCAGCAATTCTGCCATAAGGACAAAAGAAAAAGGAAATCCACAATGCCACAAGGAAAATCGAAGGTGAGTGATGTACTCGCTATTGATGTTAATACCGTATCCTTTCCAGTCCAGTAGCTTGAAAACATCTTCCAATGCAGCGATGAAGAGTTTCGGGGATATAACGTTACCCTGTCTTACACCTCTCTGCAATTGGTATACTTCTGTACTCGGATAGCCATCGTAGCCCTCCTGTACAAACACTTCAGCACTTCGATATACCGACAGTCAACTTGGCACCGCTGAAGGGACTGTAGCACCGCCCAAATTTCGATAAAATCAAAGGCTTTCTCATAGTCCACATAGGCCAGGCAAAGTGGCAGACTGTACTCTTCGGTTTTCTGTACAATCTCCCGCAGGGTATGTATGTGGTCTATGGTACTGAAGCCCTTTCGGAAACCGGCTTGTTCGGGAGGCTGGAAGTCGTCGAGTCTGCGTGCGAGACGATTCATAATGACTCTCGAAAACAGCACGTAGTCCCGGCTCAGAAGGGAAATCAGTTTGTAGTTCTTCAAGAGAGCGTTGTCACCTTTCTTAAAGAATAAGACCACCGCACTTCTGCTCCAAGCCTCTGGAGTAGTGCCACCATGGAGGACGGAATTGAAGAGCTTCTGAAGGACTTCAAGTACCGGTGTTCCACCCGCTTTCAGAAGCTCCGCTGTAATTCCATCTTCGCCTGTGGCCCTGCCATTTTTAAGGTGCTGGAGAGCCATTCTAATCTCGCTTAGACTGACGTCCGGGGTATCATCGGAATATTGTCGGATAAGAATTGCTCTTGGATCGTTACTCACACTTGCGTGTGATTCCAACGATGATGTGTACAGCTGCCCAAAAAACCTCTCAATCTCACTCAAAATCTCAGGTGTCCCGGAAACTATGCTGTCACACTCAGTCTTCAAGCTTTGACAGTTGGCTCTTACTGGCAGACAGATCTCTGGAAAAGACTTTGGAGCCCTGGTTCCGCTCGATTGCTTCTTTAATACGAGCAGTATTAAAGTTGCGTAAGTCTCGCCGTGATGATAGAATTCAAAATTTTCGTTTTTATTTTTTGTAAAATATGTGCCATAGGCTTCTACTCCGTTCACATGTTACACCCTATTTTTTACAGACGCTAAAAAGGTCACCTAGTATATATATAGATTTTTTTTGTTTTTGTGAGGCTTAAGATGTAGTCATAAGTTTGATTTATGACTAGAGGGATGTCACCCGGGTACGTCAGTGTTGAACACTTGCAGGCAAGGGGTCATTTGCCTAAAGTGCTCTCTATGTTTTACACTATTTTTACTTTATCACACATATTTACATTTTGCCACAAATACAGCTAAATAATTGTTAATAAATTATAATATGACAGGAAATATATCGGATAGGGAAATTATAATTAAAAAACTAAAAAGTTTATTCAATCAAATGTGATGATGAAATATGACTCTTTAACAAACGTTGCCTCTTCACTACAACTTTCTTCTGATTCGTGGAGACAGTTTATATACTTGAATTTCCCAAGGAAAAACATCCACACCTGGAACAAATATTTGTAGATCATTTAAATACTTTTTCCTGCGAGATTCGAATCCGCGGACCGTGGCGGCTAAGCCATTGCGCCGCGGAGCCATCAAAATTATAGTCATAATTATCCTATTTCCGCCAGAAATAAAATACTCGGGCCATAGACGGACAGCAGGGTTACAGGTGCCTGACGTCTGGTATCGCAATCGCTGCCTTCTAGATTGCCGTTTAAAGTAAATCCTTCTTACAACGTTAAGGTTTATGTTCAACAGTGGCTTTTTGAGAACTAATATAAAAACAGCAATAAATCAAAATAAATTATTAAACCGAATAACATTAAAAAGCCGAATTATTTGTTACATTTTTTACATTTTGGTCGTCGCTAGATAACGTACATGTGCGAGTTGTTCTCGAGATTTATTTTTCTAAGCTAGGAAATCCGGACTCTACCGTTATAAAAATGTGTTCAAATGAAACATCATAGGTTGATATACCTATAAAATATGAAATACAGTATTTTCTTGAATTTCTAACTATTTCGAACATTATTTTGTGTGTAAAAAGTGCAGTGACGAAAATCAATCTGTGCGCGTGAACTGCCGAGCCCGCATCGCGCTCTTTCGCTCTAACGGGAGCTAGCTATATCTGTTTTGTCGCACGGTGTTATTATAACATTCTTGGAATTGAGAATGAATTGTCCGGCATGTGGCAGTAACATTGATGTTGAGGAGATGATTAAATGCAATGGATGCAAGGCGGAATACCATTATAGATGTGTGAATATTACCTCAGCTGCGTTTAGGGAAGAACGAGAACATTTGAAACGTACTTTCAAGTGTGATTTTTGCTTAAACATAACCCAGCGTATACGGGTAACCGACGACACATCAGTACGTGGTGTTCGAACCGCTTGCCTCGTTGAACATAACCAATCTTTTGAGGGAAATGTTTCTCAGGCGATAGCAGAGTCGTTAACATCGGACGAGATAATAGATAAAGTTGAGAGAGTAATCATGGCAAACATTTGTGCTTTTGAAATCAACATTATACAAGAAATTAAAAACACTGTGGCAGTACTTGCGCTAGAAAATAGTAAATTAAGGCAGGACTTGAAGGATGCTAATATGAAATGTAGTTTTTATGAACAACAAATTAAATGTTTAAAAGCTAAGAGGCAAGTGTTGAGATAAGTGAGGAAAATGAAAGTTATGATATCAGTACCGAATGACAAAATCGACGATTAATATCTACAATACCAGAGTGTACTGAACCAGCTATTTCGTCCAATATCAACAATAAGGGCTATCACGCGCGGGCGACCGCGCTGTCGAAGCCCCCGGAAACAAATTATGCGGCGGCGGTGACCAGGAAAGCAGTGGATACGAAGGTCGGCGATGACGATGGTAATGATTGGATAGAAGTCAAAAATAAAAATAAAAGGAGGAGTAATCTTATACAAAGAGCAAACCGGTTGTTTTCTTTTGCTCCGCCAATAAGTATACTTCTATCCGCGTGGCGTACTTTACGTGTTGTCGCTAAGCGTGAACGTCCGACTGTGAGTTGCATCGTGCACAGAGTAGCTTGTAATCAGAGAGCTCGATCATTATGTTGAACACTACAAACAGTACCTTTATTCATGAAGTGGAACATACACCGAGGTCACGTGAAATGAGTATAGATGGATCGCTTATTGATAAGGAGTCCCCTCCACCCTACATTACGTTTCGTAAAGGAGTATCTAGCCAAGAGATCGATTTCTGCCATGAATTTAAGTCCTTCCAAGAAAATATGATATCCATGCTGGAGACCTGGTTTACTAAGCAAGATGACAAATTTACCAAATTGCTCAATGAGTTTGCGAGTGTGAAGACATCCATTAAATATATTAGCGATAAATACGACGATCTTAAAAAATGTACGCATGAGGTTAAGAGCCGAGTAGAAATAATTGAAAAGAGCGTCCAAACAAATGAACCACGTATTGCTTACTTGGAGGCGAAACTTGACTACATTGAACAGAGAGCGCGGAATTGTAATGCAGAAATAAGTAATCTTCCTGAAAAACGTGGAGAGAACCTTATATCTATCATTGTAAATATCGCAAATGTAATAAAACAACCTGTATCTGCACGTGATATCATCTCCATCCATCGTGTCCCCCAGAGTAACCCAAATAGCTCACGGCCAAAGAATGTAATAGTCAAATTTGCCAGCCAAATTACTAGAGACAACTTCATCTCAGCAGTATGTTTGAACAAAGGTGTCACATCTGATCAGATTAACATACAAGGTTCTCCTCAAAAAGTTTATGTAAATGAACATCTAACACTACAATCTAAGGAGTTATTTCGACAAGTTCGGGATATTGCCAAACAAAATAGATATAGGTTCGTTTGGATCAAGCACGGTGTTATACTTGCTCGAGCTGATGTTCCCACGCCTGCGATTGCAATTCGCTCAGAAAAGGACATTTCGAAACTTATACCATATATTGCTAAACAATAATTACGTATATATAATTATTTTATGTGTGTTCTCTAATAGTTGTATAAGTAAAGTTATCGTGAATTACGTAATACATTATAATAATTTCAACTCATTACTGACGTTCTGTATGTTGGCTCTGATCTGTACACTACACTGTGTGTTTACGACAAGGTATGCGTTTATCACTTATTATTACGTACTTTTTACCGTAATGATCATAATATTTGCTATCGACATATTTAATTCACAATGTTTATTTACACATGTTTTACCAAGTAATGAAATTTTTTTTCCATATATTGTGAGTATTCAAGTGATTGGTTTTGTTGGTTATGTAAGTATTATTAATTTTCACAAGCTCATTTTATCGAACTTAATAAGTGCTGGTATTAGTGTAAATGATGTGCTAAGTATAATGGCTAACGAGTTTATATTTCTATTAGTAACATGGATTAACATTCTAACTCGATACAGAGACTAGTAATTTGTCAATATACTATCAAAACTGCCGAGGTGTAAGAACAAAATTAAGTACCTTATACAATAATATTCTAGCCGAATCCTATGATATCATTATTTTGACTGAAACATGGTTGGTTCCTAACATTGCTGATGAAGAATTTATTGACTCGCGGTACGTAGTACATCGTTGTGACAGAAACAGAGCGTTGTGCAGTAAATCAGACGATGGTGGTGTTCTAGTCGCCGTGCGCCGCGGTCTGCATGCAATACGTTGTGAGTTAAGTTCTGTGTTTTGTGATAACTTCCATTGTGTCATGCCACATAATATTGAATACGTATTTTTAAAGTTTTACTCTAAGTTTAACAATAAATACCACATTCTTTGCGGCTTATATGTACCACCAAATCAGACTCTTATTACATATGAAATGTTATTTAATCTGCTTGAACAGAAAATAATATGTCACACTATTGGTAATATTTACATCTATGGTGATTTTAATTTGCCAAGCGTTGAATGGATTGTACACGATACATATGCACTTATGCCAAGAATACACAATAATAATAGCTCCTTGGATACCCTCTTGTTTAACTTTTTATCATCAATGAACTGTAAACAATATAACAATATAAGAAATCACTTAGACCGTATTTTGGATTTATTAATTTCGAATGACACAATATGTGTCTGTAAGCCAACTCTTAACCCTTTATTGCCGATAGATAGTTATCATCCGCCTTTTAGCACGCTAGTTTGTTTTGGATTATTACATAAGCCCATGGCTCGATCTTCTCAACCTAGATATCGTTTTACTGAGGCAAAGTATTCTGATATTAATAGTGATATTAATTCTGTTGACTGGGCATCAATTTTGAATGATATTTCATTAGATTCTGCTACTCAGTGCTTCTATGAAACGATATATAAAATTGTTAAAATGCATGTGCCGCAGCGACCTATAAAATCCAATGATTATCCTATATGGTTTTGCCGCCCTTTAATACATATTTTTAAAAATAAAGAAAAGGCGTGGATTAAATGGAAAAAAATATCATAACATAACTGACTACGAACAATTTTCATTGTATCGCAAAAGGTTTAAGGCGCTATCGGCCGAATGTTTTGATAAGTACCTGCAGTCTGTTGAGTAAATATTTGGTTCTGACTTTCACCTACATGTGCTTTTATAGGTATTCACGTATAGAAATTTCATTACGGAATTCTTATTAATAATACCAGGAAATATTTTATACTTAGCATTCGTATGATTCTAATATCGTATTCCTATCGTACTCTTAGAATACCGACTAATACGGACTTTCTTTGCCCAACCTTTTTAACTTGAATACGTCTTTAAATTTGCTTCCATAGCATAGTTGGAGGCAATTCAGTTAACTGATGATAACAAAAACGATTTGGTGTTGCAGCTACATATCTATTTAAAATTTTATTACACAAAAAAATTTTATTACTTCAAAATTTTATACACTACTCTATACGCGGTGGAGGGAGGAGCGCTACCGTGTTGAGATCGTTTTGTTGTGTCATATAATTTCTGTTTATAATAAAGGACATTATTTTTACGTTTTCACGTAAAATACGGCCATTTACACGACACAGCCACATTTAATTTTTATACTAAAATAAAATATATGGTAAAACTTGACGCTCGTACAACGTTTCATATCGTACGAAATATCGTCCGTCGTTGTCGTTGCGAGACACGTCGAATAACATTGAAGACGCTGTTGCTACATATGCACCTGACATTTGCTTGGTTTATTGTAAAGTATTCCACCATTGTCATACCAACTAATCAAGAGAAGATACCAAAATGCAATGCTTTGCGGTGGTAATATATTCCAGTTTCTTATTGAGGGTATCTATGATTATCTTTCTGGCTATATAACATCCCGCAATGGACAAGAATTACAAGTTACGCCGAACTGTTACTTCTTATGAGGATAGAGCGGAATTCACTAAACTCACTGCTAACCTTCGCTAGAAGAAGAAAAAAAGATATTTAACGTACCATCTAGTGACATCATAAGAGAACCCATTAACCCATATCATCAATGCATGCGTGTCGTGAGAGACGACATAGGGAAACTGAAACAGGAGATAAACAATAGTATCTTTCTTATAACATCTCTAATTTAAAAAAAAAAAAGAAACTGTTAGTGCCAACCTGTCTGCTGGGCGCGGCAGCTACAGCAGATATCTCCAGTGGATTTTAGACAGGCTGTAATGAATAATGAATGTTAAACTTGTCGCTGTTAATGAATAAGAAACTTCCGTTAAAAATTAAGGCCAAAAGGCTGAAAATGACAGTAACAAATTACTTAGAAATTGAGAATCGCGATGTGGCGCCTCTCATAACGCTGACAAGTCCTATTATTTTATTTAAAAAGGTGTAATTATAATTAACTGTAAATAAATGCTCAAGTGGCAGCCTGGTATCGGTAAGCGAATTGTAACGCGGCCCCGCTAGATTGAATGAAGAACTGTTAAGAGATTTAGATTGATGGATGCCGGTGGTTCCGGACTGTGGACCCGATTGTCGGTGATGATGATCACGATGATGATGAAATAAGTTCTAGAATGGAAGCAGCGGCACCTTACTACATAGTGTTGATATGTAGGAAGTTGATAAATGCGTGATAGACCAAGTTTTGTAGCATTTGTTGTGAAATAGAAATAGAAACTTTTTTATTCAATGTAGATTATAAAAATACTTATTGAAAGTCACTTTTTTAATTTACCACTGGTTCGCAAAAAAAACCTCTGTCCTGGGAAGAACCAGCAAGAAACCCAGCGGGACTATTTTTTTTAATAATAGCTTACAATCATGTTTACAATCAACAATACAAGACAAATTAGAAATAGCTTGGTAGCGATCACCCTTCCCAGGGGTTATTATCATCTATAAATTCCTTAATATTATAATAACCCTTTTTATACAAACTTAGTAGTGTGATTGTGGTATTGGGGATACATTAGTTTAGCAGTGGATTGGCAAAGGACTGTAATAATGACTTGATTTGTTAAGTGGTGGAGCCTCGCTGCAGCTATATTATGGTTGTATCACTAATAGGTAGCTCAAATTGACCTGGATAAGAACCGCACTTGCACAGAATACGGAATGTTTCGTGTGGTGAATGTAGAGGACCAAATACCTTTTTTACTGTAAACGAAGCGTTCTATCTTAGTCATCATGGGTGTCAACGCTTTTTCATT